CGCCGCGGCCGCCGGCTTCCACGTGGACGTGGTGGTGACGGGCGCCGTGGACGAGTGCGTCTTCCTGGGCCAGGACAGCAGCAAGGCGGCCACGGAGGAGACGGTGTCGCTGGCGGCGGGCGACGGGCCGCGGGACGAGCCGCCGCCGCTGCCGCCGCCGCCGGGGCAGCTCTTCCTGCTGCCGCAGGACGACGACGAGGAGGACGAGGAGGACGAGGAGGCCGAGGGCGGCGGCGAGGGCGGCGAGAAGGCGCCGGCGGACCCGTCGCTCTGCCGCCTGTACCGCCACGTGTCGCACGACTTCCTGGAGATCCGCTTCAAGGTGCAGCGGCTGCTGGAGCCGCGGCGCTACCTGCAGCTGCTGCCCGCGCACGTCCTGGTCAAGATCTTCAGCTACCTGCCCACGCGCGCCCTGGCCGCCCTCAAGTGCTGCTGCCACCACTTCAAGGGCGTCATCGAGACGTTCGGCGTGGAGGGCAGCGACTCGCGCTGGAACCGGCACCCGCGCTACCGCGACGACCCGTGCAAGCAGTGCCGCAAGCGGTACGCGCGCGGCGACGTCTCGCTCTGCCGCTGGCACCCCAAGCCCTACCACCACGACCTGCCCTACGGCCGCTCCTACTGGCTCTGCTGCCACCGCGGGGAGCGCGCGGCGCCCGGCTGCCGCCTCGGGCTGCACGACAACGACTGGGGGGCGCCCGGGGGACACGGCGGGGGACAGCGGCGCGAGGACGCCTGAGCGCGCCCGCCTGCCCCCCAACCCGCCCGGTTGTGCCGGGGACCTTGGAGGGGGGTCCTGGAAAGAAAGGAGGATGAAGCGGTGGGGTGTGACGGGGTTGTTGTTGTGCGGGGGACGCTGCGGGGGGGGGGTGCGCCCCAAGGGGTGGCCCCGTGCGGGGCGAGGGTCCCTGCGGGGTGACAGCCCCTTTGCAGGCGCTGGGTGACGTTGAACGGGCGGTTCCCCGGTGCCCGGTGACTGCTCCGGGGGGACATCCCAGCCCAGGTGGCACCCAGTGACACCCCCAGCCGGGGGGACCACCCCGGGGGAGCGCCCTGCGCAGGGTGACAACCCCGTGCAGGGTGACGTCCCCGTCCGGGTGTGACGTCACACCCGGGGTAACCGGAGTGTCACCCTGTCTAGGTGACATCCCAGCCGGGTGACATCCGGTGTGGGGGGGGTGACCACGTGGTTCGGGTGACATCGCGACCAGGGTGCCCCGCCCCCGCGGGGAGTTAACCACGTGATCAGGTGACGTCCCCTGTGAGAGCGCCGCCCCCCTTTCCCACGTGACGTGTTCCCCGCCCCGCCCCCCGCGGTGTGGGAGCTCTGCGCGTGCGCACGCGGCTGCGGGCGGGTGGGGGCTGGCTCGGCTTCGAGTAGCCACGCCCCACCGCTGGCCACGCCCCCCGGTGCACGTGTTGCCGCTG